ACAATAATCATGACATACACCTTATTCCAAAATGGCAGCCAGTTTATTATTCTTTTGTTTACATGGTAATCAGCCCTCTTTACCTCGTCAACATGTAGAATATACAAAAGAATTTTGAAGTGAAAATGAGGCAAAGAGGGCTAATTAACATGCAGACAAAAGAATAATAAATAAGCCGCCATTTTGGAATAAGGTGTATTAAATTCGTCGTTTTCTTTAAAGATCTATTCTAGATAACTCTTGGATTTTATCATCTTGTTCATAGCTTTTATGCTTTGCTAATTAGTAATCTCTTGCCTTTTGCCAGCAACGTGTGTTGAACTTATAACATTTTTGACTTTGTTATTCTTTATTGTAGAATTTCTCTTCTATTCTTGCTGTTACCAATAATAAAGTTTGAAATTCTGAGAGAACTTTCAGTGTGTCTTGTTTAGTCATAATTATCTTTTGGTCATGGCAAACTCATTGAGCAACGGGCTCAAAGCCCCATTCGGTAACAAAATGATGACAATTTTCACGCGTGAATCTGTGCGGTCGGGAATCCTTATGCAATAAAAGGCCAGGTTGCTGTCATCATTTTGTCAGTGAATGGGACTTTGAGCAGGATGCTCAACTAGTTTACCAAGCTGAAAGGTCTCTGAAGAGTCCTTTGGCTGGGTCAAAACGAAAGTGCTGTCAGACTAGCCACAAACAATGCAGCTTAACGCAAGACTCTTTGTTGGGCTGTTTTTCTTCCTTAAAATCAGGATAACTTGACCTTAAATCCTGAATAAAACTTTTATCTAAATTGTTTGAAAGTTTCATAGTTCAGTTGAATGAATAGTAGTTTAGGGTTAAGTTGCATATCTTTGACGCACCATCATTAAGGCTCATCAAAATACATTGACTTAAACAAAGGAAATCATGACAGTGACGGTATTTGGACATCTGATCTTAATAAGCATTACATGTACATATTATAGTTTTTTCCCGCTGTTTTCTCCTTAGTTTTGGTTTTGAATGAGAAGATCAAACACAGAAGACCATGCTTGCAGACACTTTCCAAGCACTGTAAGTATTAGTTTGTCAAAAATACCCTTGTAGACATATTTTCAACGCTCCTATTGTTTGGAAATGTGGTGAAAAACAGTCTTTGGTGTTTGATATAATTTATTACTTAAATACTACTTGGTTTCTCTCTAGCAAAACAAAACCCAGTGCATACTTGTGAGTTTAGAACCTTCAATTTTTATTGCACAATGTCTACACCCATTTTTACAGTAAATTTTTACATTAGAGTACTTGAAACAATTTACGAGTACAATGTTTTTGAGGTTATGCATAAAAACAATTAAATTAATCTATAGTAAGCAGGATTATTTCATAATCGTTGTCAAAATTGTGAAATGAAACACCAATGACTAACAATGCTGCACAACGAGGGTGAATAAATTATTGAATATAAATATGAGAACCAAAACGTTGAGCATAGAAAATAACTTTACCAAGAAGTTTCTTATTGACAGGGACTTAATTCAGATGTAAAAAACATGTTTATTTAAAAACAGGTTGATCGAAAAAATGCTCTGCACATCATGCTTTCTCAGCCAGAAACCAGAATTCCATTTTAAGAATTAAGAATTGGTAAGAATTATTTTGGGTGAAGGTCTGTTTTACCTCGTTACTTCACCAAATTGAAAAAAATACTGGCAAGAAATATTATTACTTAATAAGCATTCCAAACTACAAAAAGAACACAAACAACACTACTTCAACTACAAACTAACTTGATTATTTCACTAGTGGTAGTGGCATTATTTTGTACTGACAAGGATAATACAAAAACGATAATTATTATGTCCACTGCAAAGGGCTACAATATACCATAACACTGCTCACTTTGTGTTTCACAAGCTGGAGCAGAAAAAAAAAATAGAGAGAAAGCAGAAAGTGAAATGTAGTTTTAGTAGAATTACATTGCACCTGCCTGTATCAACTTCAAGAAACAATTCAATGAGATGTTTAATTAAAAAAGGCACAAACTTTTCTTAATTAATTTTACAGTTCAGTGAAATGTAACCAAGCCTCTGCATGAATGCAAGGTTTAGGTTGAGCTATGACCGCGGGATCTTTTATGCTTACAGTCAGGACGTAGCAAGTCAACTCCAGGCCCACTTGTGCTCAAAGCCCTGATCACCAAGCACAGAACTGTAAATGGGTTAATTCCACCTGCTGCACACATATCTCATACTAATAATAATAATTGAAGGCTTTCATACAAAAAGGGCGTATTATAGCATTTTGAGCCGATTTTTGTTTTTTGCAGGATTGAGCTAATTTTTGGCAGACTGACTTGTTTTGACATGAAAAGCATCGTTGCATAATTGTTTTTGTTGATTTGCGCTTCGTTTTTGAGAAATAATGTATGCAAAAAAACTCAGTTTTCCAAGGGTATCTTTTGGAGATCTTTTGTTTTGCTACACGATGAAGTCACTGAAACGTGGTATTTGCCGCTAGTTTTATTATTCATATAAAAACACAATTCTCTTACTGTTGCTTCCATAGCACAAGCAAATAAGGCACTGAATGGGCCAGACCCGAGTTTGTTTTGTCGTGACACCAGTTCGATACAAGGTCAGTCAAATTTTTTTCCTGGTCTATTTCTCTACCTCTTTCAAAAATGAAAACATCTATTAAAAAAAAATCGTGCTGTCGAAGCTGCTAAACGTAACCGTTTAAGTTTGCACTGCGTCAAAATCCACCTTTGAAGGATTCGTTCCAAAAGATGCCACTCGGAAAACTGAGTTTTTTTGCATATGTTATTTCTTGAAAACGAAGCGCACATCAACAAAAACAATTACGCAACAATGCTTTTCATGTCAAAACAAGTCAGTCTGCCAAAAATTAGCTCGATCCTGCAAAAAAATAAAAATCAGCCCAAAATGCTATATATGCCCTTTTTCCACGAAAGCCTTCAATTATGTACTGATTTACAAATGAACCAGCCAATTCCAATCCCCATTAAGTCACACACTTGACTAAGATAAAACCATCAACTAGCTAGGGGTAAATATGAAAGGAATGCTGTGTTTATTATATATACATCTATCAAAAGAAAGTTTACTTATAAACAGAACTTTAGGTAAATGTTTGAATTACATGACATTTGTACATGAACCAAGTGACATGTAGGTCTGGATTGAAGATACATCTTACAGGGCTTAAAAAAGTGCCATTTAGTCATCCAGGACAGGTAGATTTTCCTGCTGAGCAAGTCACTTTTCATTGTCACTTGCCTAATGGAAAAGGGCAAGTCATCTGCCCCCAAAATTAAAACAAGGTATACTAAGACTTGCCCAGGGCAAACAGAATTTGAGAGATGCTTGTCCAAAGTGAAAGCTAGAATTCAAGTTTTTTTCAAGCCCTGTCATCTTGCCAAGTGCTTGGATTGAAAACTTACTTTATTCCATCAAGAAATTGGGAAAGGAAGCCTTTGCTTTACAATTGGTACTGCTGGAAATTTTAAATTAGAGTCATCATGCTGCTTTTTAATCATTATAAGCCAAAACAAATGATGGGAACTGTCAGAAAAGAGGCTATTTGAAGCAATCTTTGCCTTTTACTCAGGTATAGAAAAATTCTTTTTAAGCCTTATTAATTTAATTACAAAATGGGATCACAGTGTATGTTAAGTGCTCTCTTAAAATCTCCAAATTGTAGCAAGAGAGTACTGCCCCCACCCCTTTGGCCTTGCTCTAGATGTGATTTTATAGAGGTGAAACCAATATGCGTGAAGATCAATTCATCTCAAATTTGAACAGCTCATAACCTATAGTCATCTTGAGCATCAATGTCATCCATTAGCGTGGGTCTGTGACCTGAGTACTCCTTTCGCCTGCAGTAAAGTATCCCCATGGTTACACCCACAAGTGCTACTACCATTGAAATAACTGACGCTCCAATGGCAATCTTGGTGCCCTTACTTAGTCGCTCTGTAATAGAGAGACCACACAAAAATGTAAATTTTTTTTTAAGATTAAAATAATGATTTTTTTGCCTGTTTCTTTGACAGGCATTGACCTTGTTGACAAAAATACTCCGCTCCAAGACAGGACATAATGCAAAAAGCCGATACAGCCAGTAACATCCTGGTCTTTCATGCAACAGTTTGTACATAAATTGTATAAAGAAAAGAAAACTTACTTGCAGTTGGCTGGGGTTTAACGCAATCCAGTGTATATTCATCTTTGATTACTTTGTAATAAAGCCCATTTGCTGGAACCATGTAAAGCTGGAAGATAATATTGATCAGTGTATCAGCAGCAGCCATCAAATACTTTCAAGTGGAACAGGGGGGTAAGCCTTGGAACCTGACCAGGCACCACTTGGCAAATGAACCTTTTTATCCATGTCACGCAATATCTATTCAACAATTTTTCGTACAATTTTTGAATACACAAAAAATCACCTTCAAAGTTCAATTTATCATCATCGTGATGCTGAATTTAGTAAATCTATGAAGAGTTACAAAAATCCATTGCAAACTCATAAATATATGGGACACAAAAACTTACAAACTTACATAGCTCCCTAGCACACATTTCTTTGAAAAAATTGACGGTTCGAGGTCCCATATGTTTACGAGTTTGCAATGGATTCTAATGCAACTTCACATATTTAATAAATTTGGCATGATAAATTGAGTAGTGCAGTTTATTTTTTGTCTGAATGAGAACATTGAAAAACGATGACATCGGTAAAAAAGTCCATTGCTTTACCACCACCTCCACTAAGTACTTTGTCACTCTACATTAAAACAGTCGTACATGCTTGAATGACTACTTATCAAAGTTTTGACTTTGCAAACTTTTCTTGAGCAGGGATCAATATTGGTTTTTTTCTCCAAGTCGTCAACTGGGCAAGTATGCCAGATGACATACTTACCCTGGCAAAAGTTTACTCGACCATTCAATATGGAAGAATGGCAGCAGAACATCATGGAAATGGCAAAGTTACATGTACTCTTATATTATTTTCATGCAACCAGTCTCCCAGTACATCATGTCCATAGTGGTGGCTGTCAGCAGACACAGAAAATTAAATCCAGGTGCAAATGAAAACCAATTGAAAGCCTCTTTGACTGCCATGAAGGCTGAAAGGGACGCTTTTGCTCTTCTTGCTCGTATTTGGCTTGTTGCTCCAAAGTGTTAACATTACTAAACAACATATCCTGATCAAAACAGCTGATACATTCACACCATGTGTTTTTACAGATGCAGATGATTGTAGTACAGAGCATCAGCAGTTGACAAAATGAGCCTGCCATGATCATGGCTCAGAATACCACATCATCCCAGATGGCTGACCAAAAGGGTGATTTTAAATTGCAAAAGAAAGCTGCAAGTCTTTCTCTGTTTTCTAAAAGTTGCAAATGGCTGACAACTGGTCAGAGTGCAGGGAACTCATAAGAAAATTTAAGAAATGTTTTATATCCTGGTAGAGTCAAACTAAACTCGTCCAGCAAAAGGGTTTTTGTATTGATTTGGTCACCCCTATGATTTTTCAGTCATCATGGACAACCGGACGACTGCGAATATGGATCCCTAATGAGGATGGTAGGACAAATGGAAAGAATAAAGTTCAAGGACACTCAATTCCATTAGGACCTAGCCTGAAAGTTTCAAAATCAAACATAAGAACTCTCCAGAAGCCAGATTTATCCTTCAAGGCAAACTAGAACCACAAATAATTACCTGGTAAGATACTTTATCCGATGTTCTGCTTATCTTGGCTTTAAAAGTTACATTCTCCCACTGTGAAGACTCCACAGCCATTCTTCGATGTCTTGCTGATGGCTTGCTACCAACAAGCATTCCCGTAAGATGCACAAGTTTTTCTTCATTGTTAGCAAACGTTTCTGTTGCCGTTCGATGCCAAGTGCCTGACTGGTTGCGATAGAAGTTAACATCAACAGAAGGGCTTGCCGCTGTTAGATCTCGGAAGGTGGAAGAAAACCCAACGTAAATAGTATCATCATAATAGCCAATAGCAGTGCCATCACACCAGTGCCTATTGCATGACCGTGTAATACATTTGCCTGTTTGAAATTAAAAAAAAAGTATTTAAATGAGAAATCAGATATTGAGGAAATGTTACCAGTATTATAAACAATCATTCAGTATGTACATGTGAAATAAAGTTAAAGGACTGGTAGACTTTGCAAGACAAACTATGCAAATGTGTTGGTAGAAGACAACAATTGCTCAAATCGCATTTTTTGTAACTCTTAACAGAATGAATTTTCCTTTCCTATTATTTGGCTTGTTTTTCTTCTAATAATTTATCTCATTAGTTAATGGTTGGTAGGTTTTTTAATAAGTATTATTAGATTATAGTAATGAAAAGTAAGCTTCTAATAATCATTATATAATCTTAATGTCCCCATTTATTTTTAGATGGGTGTTTTCTCACCGCTAGCTAAATTTTGACTCGTTAATAGAGTTTTTGCATTGAATTGTATTGCTGTAAATAGACTGTACAAAAAAAATTGTGTTTTCAGTTATTCAAACTTGTCACGTGAAAAAGTTGTACAGTACCATCTAATTAAGTGTCATTTACACTACGAAGAAAATATTTATGTTATTCAATCTTATACTTAAGAGCACTTAGCTCAAGTTCATTTTAAAAATTGACATTTTATAAGAAAAAAAAGGTTTAACTGGGAAAATTAATAAAAATGATTTACCAAGTTGGCAAGTGTCTTCAAGGAAATCTTCTGAAACCAGCTCTTTTCTTTGTTTTGACGACAATGGATGAACTTGACTAATCTACATTGTACATTAGTATTAAAATACATTTTATCAGAGAAATATAATAAATAATGTATCTTACTAACCTCGTTTTCTCAGTCAGTACTATAAGTTACAGATCCTTGTTTTTTCCCACTTCAATTTATAGCCAACACACTTCACATTTGGGCCATAAATCTAGGGGGGTAATGCAGTCTGTAACTTGCAGTATGGACTGTCAACTTGATTATTATGGGGTATAATCTAGTGGATAAGTATCAACTGAAAGTAACAAACTATGCTATCTACTGGATAGTGAATTATGACACCTGAACATTGTAGAGTGGTTTTTCATTCTTACTGCAAATCCTTCAATACATTATCTACCCCTAAGATGGAACTCATAAAGAATTCATTAAATCAAGAATCAATCCTTACTGAGACATGCAAACTTCCTTGATCCATCACACTTTTATGAGAATGCATTTCCAAGTTAAATCCATAATCAAGATTTCCTGAAAGGAGCAACAACAATAATTTAGGAAACTGAGATGGTCATATCATTCTATGACTGCAACAAATTGAATAATATTTGAATATCTGAGATGAAATGGTTACCTATTTTTTGGGGAGGATTTATATCAGCGTAGTAGGTTCCAGCAAATAGAAAATCAGTGTCAGGCTGAGAGACTTGTAATGTTACTATCGCTGGTAATGTACACATGTCAACCGTCGCTTCATAGAAAACTGCTTTGTCATCGGCAAAACCTAAACAGTCCATTGTTGTGTTTGAAGTCTTACCACAGGGAAATGGTGGACGCTCTGCAAATTAAAATTAAAAAAAAAAAGAAATTAATTATTTGTTGAAACATTGTAACCTACACTTGAGGGAAATGACTATGAATTCAAAAAATATTGCAGTGTTTTGAAAAAATATTATAATTCCTGACTAAGGAAATGTACTTATTTATTTTTTGTGTTTTCTAAATAAACTGGACTCATTAGACAAACAATGTGATGAGATAATATTCTTATCTTGACTCAAAATAGGTTTTTAATCACCAGAGATTTTAGATATCTATGCAGATTCAAAAACTATATGCACGCAGAAAATTTGCATATTTTTTTGAATGACTTTCTTCACGTATCAAACAAAATTAGAACAAAAGGTTCGGATATTGTTACATTTGTGATATGATTTGTTTGACACGACTGTCGGATATCACACTTGTTTACATTATCAATCCATGAATGAAATATCAAAACAAGTCCAATTAATCATACTTACTAAAGCTTCGAGTGACTGTCCTTCCATTTAAAGGCTGAACTGGTCTAAAATTGTCACTCAAATGCGATTTTTTCGTGTCTTGGCGTTTTCCATCGAAAGTACTTGATCTGAATTTCTCGAGCTGCGCCTCGGAGATGCCAAACGTATGATTGAAAACAAACCACTGTACGCTCTCAAAACAACCAGGGGTCGTCAGCGAACCTTTATACGTGTAAAACTGGGCGATGTCGTGTGGTAAAAACAAAAAAGGTTGTAGAGAATCTATAGTAACGTTATCGCTTTTATAACGAATCTTTTCTAGCCTGTCCACTATCACATTAAACACTGGGTTGTCGCTAGCCTGCACTTCCACCAGTACACCTAACACGGCCAAACCATCCGCTTTCTTCATAGCCGTCGAGGCGTTCGGATATTTCTCTGCGTTGTAGTGCACAATGTGTATTTCCATGGGGTATTTTCGTCCACCTACTTGGTGTTCTGAACCACGTGAATTCTCGCTTCCCCAGTGAAAGTGCAACTGGGCTGCTTGAAAACGCGACGGCAAACCACCACCAGAAATATTGGACTTGCCGGTTAAAAACGAAGCTTGAACGCTATGCCCGTTATTTTGCAGGAAGGCAGAGACGTTAGGTTCGTAGTTGATAGTCAAGTCGGCCAGTCCTGCGTCGAAAATCGTGTTTTTGGGCACAATGTTTACTGGAGACTGATTGCGTCCTCCGCAATCGCTGTAATGGTCTTTCCACGTGCCAGGGTTTTCTTGACCGTGATAAGACCAAGTTCCTAAACTTTCGGCGCATTTTGGAAAGACTACGCTCAAAACGAACAACCAAGAGGTCACATAAACAAGTTCCATCTTCGTTCTGACGTACAAAATTCTGTTCAAACAACAAAGTTTATTTCCCAGCGAAATGTCCGCTCCGATCTCGACGGCTTCTAACCGCGAAAATGTTTACGTGAGCAGGTGAAGTGACGTCCAGTCTCTTAGCTGCCAAAATGAAGTCCAAGGTTCGTGAGCAAGGAACTAATATTTGAGTTTTCCTATAAATGACGTTAGTTTCATGTGCTCTACCCGTGAATTCGCTATACTGTACGTCAACTCTGCACATGTGAATATCTCCTGAAAATATTGAATCAACTGAATTCGTCTTGCCAAAATTAGAAAGGAAAACAAGAAAAATAAACTCATCTTGATACAGGAAAGACGGAATTATGATGTAACTGGTTAATTAGCCGTGATCATTTTAATTATCCATTTATGTATTTAAAAAGTCGGTAGTAAGCTCAGTGGAAACTATTCTATAAGGCAAAAATAAGATTGGTCACTATCAAATATCGTTTAAAAATCGGAGGTGGAAATTATAGATGTTGCTCCTTGCTGTAAGGAGTGTCGTTCATATGCTAGAACTGGTCACAAATTTGATATATAAGACTGACTACTGAAACGATTAAAAATAGTAGGTGATAAATGTTGCTTCTTAGCCTTTCAAAAAACTTGTCGGAATTGGCCAATAAAACGTAAGGTTCAGCCACTTTTATTGCATTAAATGTATTGCAACACATATATGGTCACTGGTAAAATTTTGCTGTGCAGTCTAACACTACGTCCACACTACGCCAGAGAAATTTGAAAACGGAGTTTTCACTCCGAAAACGCATCAAATGTTCAGTTTCCGTCCACATGCACTACGCCGGAGAAATTTAAAAACGTAACAATCACTGACGGTAGAAAAACTTAAGTGCACCCTCGAGGTTAGGGTTAGTCACGTGATTATCAAGACGTCATCGTTTTCCGACCTCCGGTTTGAAGAGCGTTTCCGGAAAGCTCGGTTTTACAGATTAGTGTGGACGGTAGGTCTAACCGTAGAAATAAAGCTGCGTTTTCAAATTTCTCAGGCGTAGTGCAACCGATTACGCTCGGCTGTGAGACGACGAGCCCTTTCCAGTCCATAGGCTAAGACGGGAAGTACACTTAAAGAATTAGACGAGAGTGTTGCGTGATTCAAAAACCTAAACTCAGAAGGCATGATGAATGGAGAGGTAAAAGTTATTAAAAATTTAGGTCATTTGACTCCTGTTTCGATAGTGCAAGAATGATTCAAATATTGGTGGTTTGAACTTGAACTATATTTTCCGCTTTTGCAACTTGAATGGCAAATACTTGTTCATGCAATAGGAATCAACCTTTGTTCATGAAAGCATCGTAGATTGTGTATCTGTAATACTGGCAGAACGTTGTGGTAAAAAGATTTGAAAATCGAAAAGAATAGAACAATGTGGGTTTTAAATAAGTAGACCAAAAATTAAGCGAACCTCAACCCAGGCGCAAACAAAACCGACGTCCTTTATAAGAAAGTCTATAGAGCTGTATTTGACGTCAATAAACTTACCCCTGTTTCTTTTATACCTGGGGGGTACTCCCGGCTTTATACGGGCTACATACATACATACATACATACTTTATTTGCAACTCCCCAAAGGGGCTTTTCAGTTACAAAAGGAATAAAAAAGATAAAAATACGTCAATTAAAATGAATAAACAAACTGAGAAAGGAGTCTAAAATTAATCACAGTATTCAAGATTTAAAAATTTACAAGGTTTAAAATTGAATATTAAGAATTTACATTATTAACATTTAAAATATGTTTGGTCAAGTGTTCCTTAAAAGCTTTCACAGAAGGTAAACTTTTCAAATCATCACTCAGCTC